GTCCAGCAGCATCCCATAGAACTCCACATTCCTCCTTCCTGCTCTCCAGTGATTGGCACCCTCCCCCCCACCCCAGCATGTGACAGCATCTCTATTCAGGGCACTGAAATTTCCAGTTACACCTCCGCTGCATACAAGCATAACACTAAACAATATAGATTAGCTTGACTCATCAATACATCGATTATCATTAAGTGAACTAACCACAGAGATACTGGGCATGTCCACATATGCAATAAATACGACTGAATAAACTCCAGTGCGTTTCATGCCAGAGGTCATTGTTCCCAGGCACACTGTTCGCACATGTGCCTGGGACTGCAGCACGCTGAGTCAGTAGGCAGCCACTGCACTGAAGCACCTTCATGCCCCATCAGCATCTACAAGTGTGTTGTAGCTAAGTAAATAACTCCTCCATAGGATAGCACTTGTGGAATTCATTAGTCTACTCCATTAGTTTACTCCATCCTGATAGCACTGCTCATGTAGATGGTGACATTTTACTGCAGAGCTAATCAGTCAGTTCCACAGTAAACATCTTGTATAGATGTGCCCACTGGCTATTACTAGGGCTAGGGACAGACATTCAAAAAGCCTAAGCCTGAATTGATTAAACCTTTGCAGATTAGTCTAACCTGGCTAGGCTGAACCATTTTGCAACCATACAGACATTCTCTCTGGACTGAGAAAATGCAGGCACATGCCTACAGTGGCTGAGGCTAGAAGCAAGGGGGTGCTAGAGCAGTCCTCCCTTCCCTTGCACAATGCTGAGCTGAGGGGGGTGTGGTTAGGCCCTAGCAGGATGCTCTGATTAGGGAGGGGTCGTCTCCCCCCTCCACTCCTGACCAGTGAGGGAACCAGCAGGGAGTTGATAAGCATTTAGCACCCTATCAAGAAAACAAAAGCCTCTATCATTAGTTCAAGCTCTTCTTAAACAACTTTTTCCAAAGAAGGAAGGAGGGATATTACCAGCTGACCTATTGATTAGCTCCAAATCTGCTTCCAAATCTGTCCTGTCTGCCTTACACAAACACCTCTCAGCATTAGCTAGCATACCACATGCCACAGTCTGTCCTGTGGGAGAGGGGAGTGGGGAATCCCTGCTTGAGCAGGGAGTTGTTCAGGGGGCAAGGGGAAGCCAAGCAGACACTGCTGTACCTGCCATCTCTGCCAGAGCTCCAGCCAGGGAGCAGAAGGGTGGGGCCAGCCTGTTCTCTGGAACACAGAGCCTCACCCAGGGCTGCAAAGCATCTAGGATGCTGGGGGACTCTGGTTTAAGTTAAACCAAGAAGGGGTCTGGGACAGACATTGCAAAAACTGGTTTAACACAAATCACTTAAGTTTGATACTACATTCAACTAGGTTTATCTCTCACTGGTTTCGGTCATTTTCAAACTGGTTTATGTGCACTGAGCTTCTATTCTGTTACAGGTTTAAATCAGTTTTTGATCACTTAAACTAGTTTATGTGCAGTGGCTGTCCCTAGCCTAGAAGAACTGAAGTTACAGACCTATTTCTGACTTCCTTGCCTACCCTCACAACATTCCTTAAATGCAGCACTACTGTTCTCTGCAATTTAAGACTGTACTTTGCCAGGAAAACTTTACAAAGGATTGTGGAGCAATGTTGAAATCAGCCACATGTGTGAGTCAGTATACATACTACTCAGGCAGTGAGCTTTGATAGCTTTCTACTGGACGACAATGAGAGACCTGGACCAATTACCCCATACTGCACATTGCAGGGAACTGACTCATTTTTCTGTAACAGGAATTGACTACAAATTATGCAGGATACTGACTCATATAAATCCACAAAGGAAACAGCATTTATAACCTAATGTTGCAAATGCACCGCTTGCAGAACAAAGCTAATTTTCATGCTAGAAACTGAATTCCACTTCATATTTCTATGTATTAACTAAGCAAAAGCCCAGGATTATTGAATACAGCTATACAGAAAATCTGATGCAGGACTGATCTTGAGATTCGCAGTCACAGGAATCATAGGAGACAGGATGGAAAGGGAAAAATGTTTTCACTCTTATGGGCAAGGGTAGAGAAGGAAAGGAAAAGAGACTGTTCCTTCTGAGGAAGACACTAGACCATAAGGATGATACTGAAGGCATTGAGGGACTACAACCCCTACTGAAGTCTGTAATGTGAGGGTGTAATGCCATGTAGTGTAATAACTGGCCAAGATTTTTTTTGAGCATTCTTTCTAACTATGTAGTGTGTACCACTAACAAAAACAATACCTCAAAAAGATTAAGATCCATTAATTAATGTATATGGTAAGTAATCTACTATATGCCAAGAAAACAATAATTGTCATGCATTTATTTGACAATAAGAATTTGGGATGCGCAGTTCAAATGATTAGGGTTTTGTTAAAAAAAAGTTGAGTCAGGCCTTGTGTGGAGCTAACATGCTGTAGTTCATCTTTACTATTTATCTTTTTCCCTTTACATTTCAACATTCCTTTAATGGCACATATTTTTATTTGACATTCTTGTCTCTTCAGGAAACTATTCTGCTCTCTCCACAAAGGTATCATGCTACAGCAACATTTCTTAGTCAAGGAGATCCGGATGGAACTCCCTTTGGAAGCTTTCAATATAACCCGCTCTTCAGCTGTCTGGGTCATTTGCCTCTCAACACGCTTCTCTACAGTAATGAACCCAGGCAGAGAAACCAAGAGTGAAATTCAAATTCAGGTAAACTGCACATCTAAGCCGCTCTCCCACCTTGCACGTCCCCTCTTCCCTTTTTTTTGTTCTACCTTCAGGTAAGGAATGGGGGTGACTATGGGGGAGGCTATTATTTGTATTTCTTTCTTTAGTGACAGCAAAATTAACTTTCAATACCAAAAATAATGGCAGGTTTACTCTCTCTCGCTTTATGTGTCACTAAGAAAGACACCATACTACTGTTGGCTATCATTTTCTACTACCTTTTGTTAGAAATAGTAGTTCATTTTTAATGTGAATATTTACATTTCTACAAATGTCAACATTTTCATATTGTTAGGTCAAACGTGTACTAAACAGGAAAAAAAGTCACTAGCTAGATATAAGTTTCTGTTAAGCCACATAGGTCCTTCCTTAAAAGAAGGCAATTATAATATTGCTAGCAATCCATATTCAGCACTTAAACTGACTCCCTTGTTGCACTTTATTATTTTTAGTGATTTCAGAAACAAACACTGCCTGGTGTTAGAAAACTGTTCACTTGATTTAAAATCATCTGATAGTAATGGTACACATGTGAGTAAGCAAGTGATTCAGGAACACAAACATCACCAGATTTCCCTGTCCCTCACTTCCAAACTCATGACACCAAACTTCCATGTAATTAAGTATCCAATAGCATTGTTAATACGGAGTTAAGGTAACCCAGTGGCATCTCATGGTTAAAACATACAACTAGACATTTAGAGTTAAGGCAATACAAACTATAACCTCTGAAAACCAGCCACTAAAAAGTGAGGTTCTGGAGTGACTATATTGGAAGTCACTTTTATTCCAGAACAGAATATCCATACAAGGAGTTGTGCCAAAATGGCTATATATTGCTATTGTTCTTCTGATCAAATCTCTCCACAGGCACAAGCCCTTGCAAGCAGCAGAGGTGAAAGA